GTTAGTTCACCTTTGGGGGTGATCTTTCTTTTGGCGATCTACTCCTCCGGCACTCAGGGTAAAATGAGGAATGAAATTACAGAACTGCTCGGCGAAACCGACTATATACAGGTAAAATTCCTGTTTGTTTGACCGCTTCTCTTTGTTATTTTGATTGACAATTTTTTTTCATATTTTTCATCTTTTAACTTCTACATTCTACAAAATTAGAGGTAGAGGTAGACCTAGAAAGAGATGGATGGATTGCGTGAAAGGTGACATAATCAAGAAGGGAGTGATGACTGAGATGACGGATGATAGAGTGCTTTGGAGGACGAAAACCCGGCCGATCATACTGGAGTAGGATAAGGCAGGGGAGATGATGATGGTTCTACAAAATTACAACTAAATTGAACTTGTTGCCGGTAAATTGTAACAATAATATAAAATGTTCACTGTCAATAGTTACAAGTATAGAACGAGTGTATTTTAAAATCATGATTAGATATAGTTCCAATTTTAATTTTATCATTTTGAAATATTTATCTAATAATGTTGACTGGCGAAATACTTAAAAATGCATATTGACAAAAACCGTGCGCAGAAAGTTTGCCGATGTCTTCTCTTCCCACAATCACTGACCTTGTCCCGTACTTGTCTGTTCGGTACCGTCAGTGACGTGTCACGTCATGACGCCACCAGCAAAGCTTCCCTACTGATTTGAATGACAGGAATGATAATATACACGTGTAGAGGAAACCCACAGTTGAGTTAACTATTATAAAATCCAATTACTTGGATAGATGACGGACAAGTACAGTAATCTGAGCAGCGAGTTTTCCACAATGGACTCCAACTACCTAAACCTGGCCAACAAGATCTACTTAGCTGAGAAGTTCACGTTGAACAAGAAGTTTGAAAAGACAGCGCTGTCTTATGAGGCAGAGGTGGAATCAATCAACTTCCACGATACAGACCTGGCAGCAAATACCATTAACCAATGGGTGAGACATTGTGGCTTTTTTACAACCTATTTTAGTATATGTTAGAATATAATAATAAAATAATATAACCAATGTATTATTGTATTGTATATTGTATATTGTAATTTATTATACTAATAATAAATTAGTTAAGCCATATGTATGCATTCTATAAAACTTACGGGGTGAGTAAATTGTAACACTTTGTGAAAAAGGGACAAAGCCTACAAGCCAAAGCCAGCATAGAATAAAGGTTGCAATTTGTAATTGAATGTCTTATAGAATATAAACAATAAAATAAAGTTTTTATAACTTCATGCTGATGAAGCCGCACAGGAACAGCTATAGTTATAGTGTATTGTGGCAAACGAACAATATTTTGCTCATGAAATATAAAAAATATGACATCATGCATGTTTTCGTATTGTTTGCTTTAAATATGTATATTTTTTGGACAGGCCAATAAACAATTAAGAGGCCTCATCACGAACCCAGTGTCGAGAAATGATCTGCGCCCGGACGCGTCGGTCGAACTTATCGACCTGATTTACTTCAAGGTAAGACTACAAAACAATTTAGTTATCAACAATAGAGTAAGAAATACTTAAACGAGGAGCCATTTTCAGACTGCGGTTTGTCTATCTGTCAGCAAATCGGGAAATTAATTCATATTAAGAGAGTCAACACGAAATCGAAAATGCAATACTAGACTAAATTCGTTGACTAATGTGTCAACATAAACCTGCGCTAGGCTAGCGTGGTTGACTGACAGCTGCCTAGAGCTAGTCACCTCATTGTAGGGTAGGATCCAAGCCCCTCGACGGGTATCTAAACAAAAACGTAACTTCGAATATTGTTTATTTGCGTATGGATAATATGAATTACCTCCATCAGTCCAGTACCGAACAACCCAGCAACCTTTTGAGATCTTTACCAGACTTTATAAAACACTTGTACATGTTATTTAGGGACGCTTGCAAGAGGGTTTCGAAGCTTCGTTGACTGAGAATAAGGACTTCTACACCAACGAGACAACGACTGTTAAGAAAATGATGATGCACTACAGAGGCACCCTCTTGTTTAAAGATGACAGCCAGCTCGGAGCTAAGGTAAGCTCTTTTACTAATTTATGTTTATTTTATATGGTAGCTGTTGTTAATGTATTTCCAGTTGTACGCGTCTGTAGGCAATGAAAATACTTTCTCGAAATTAAAAAAAAACTGTATTTCTTACCAAAAACATTTTTTATAAAAATCAACGACGCCGGTTGTCATAGCAACCACAATAAAGAATCACGATATTCGATCTACTTTTATTTTACTCAAGTTCTTTATTTGTCTCACGTCACTCCTAGCTGCCAGTAACTTCAACAGCTGTTGTATCATGTTGACTTCGCACAGACACATACACACGCACCTTTGAATTTCTTCGCAGGTGGTAGAGTTACCGTACCAAGAACCCGGTTTCCGCATGGTGGTGATCTTGCCGAAAGAAGTGGAAGGTCTCCCAGAGGTCCTGGAGAAGGTAGCGCAAACTGGCCTACTGGATTACGTCTTCGGCATGCGAACCTCCAGATCTGACATCGATTTGTATTTACCCAAATTTGACATAAAAAATAGTCTGAATTACGCTGAAATATTACCAAAGGTATGTTGCATTTTTTTTTTAATTTATATTAAAACATGGATTTGATATTAGCAAATGTAATATTTCCTTTTTAAAATATCAAAATCCAATTGCTTAAAAGAGTAACGAAAGCCTCTGTCTATCAATTACTGTTTTAAGGCAATCTTGTTGCTGCTGCTATTGACTTGTAGTTTGGTCCTGTACTCGTATGACTATTTTTTCCAATGTATTCACCCCTAAATATAATAGCTTTAAAATATCTAGCCAAAGCATATCTTAAGTGTTATGGGTTTAAATTATTAATAAGTTTGTGTCCGAGCTTAATTACATTAGTAAAGATGTATATAACTGTACGCGACAATGCTTTACAGACTGTTTGTTTTGTGACAGGTGGGAGTGAATGAGATATTTAGCAAGGGAGCGGCTGGCGTAGTGGACAACGACGTTGTTACCGTATCTAACATATTCCAAGAAGCCGCAGTGAGGGTGGACGAGGCAGGCTCTAGTGCAGGCGTAACTGGCGGTAAGAAACATTCATGATAAGGATAGCAATTGTTCAACAACTATTAATTTAACTCAGATATCAATTCTTGAAGGAATTAAGTATTCAGGTTTTCCGATTTTCATACTTTCTTGGTTTCTTACTTTTCAAATTTAAATGTTATAGGAAGCAATGCAGGTCCAAAGGCTTCAGACTCCAGGGCATCATCACAAGCATGGGAGTTCATCGCGGACCGCCCATTCCTCTTTACCATTCTATATCACGATGTGGTCGTGTTTCTTGGCACATACACTCATTGAGTAACCAAGATATTTGTGCATTTTTAATAAATATTTTATTAAAATAAATGTTTTGTTTCAATTCTTTTACTGCATAACCTAAAAAAAAGCTGCTGATTATTATCATGGATGTCAACGTGGCTACATGTTTCACTAAATTTACTCAGTTATCAAAGACATTTAAAAACATATAGACAAGGCATACTGAACAAAATTATTTCACCGTTACTTTCTCTGAATATTAGTTGTCAAGTTTAGTTGCCATCTTGTGTCCTTGTATTGACATGTTATAAAACAGTATACAAAATTATAATAAGCTCCATCTTTTGTTATAAAATGAACTAAACAGTATTGAAAAATTAAATATAAACATCTATTGGCAATTAATTTAAATACAATTATGACTTGTTATCTTGGACAGGCCTTCAATAGATAGCGTTAGCGATCATCGGAAAATGAAGCGTCAACTATGCCGCCTCTATATAGATATTATTTGAATCTCTTTCAGAAGAGGAATCAACTCTCATTATCCTCTTTACCAGTTACAGTTTTGTTAAGATATTCAAACTCCTGGCCTGGTTAGGTAAGCAAGCCAAACTGACATCAGACGGAGAGATCGTAAGCCAGGGTCTTAAAATTATGTTCTGCGGCGTCTTGTGCGAAGCGAGCTTCTATAAAGTTTGAATGTTACTATACAAATGTATAAAACAAAATCTGTCGCAGTGTTTACGCACTCGTTCATTGCAACCTTGGCCGGCTCGTCGACTTTATAGATGGGCCCCCGTTTTTTTATATTATTGCCTATTTTTGCGGGAATCGAATTTAATTCTCTGACTGTACGTATGTAACAGAAGGTCGTAACAAAATAATAGATTTGTGACGATGTCATAGTGATGATTAAATTTGCTCAATCTAGCGGGGAACCACATTTGGTTTTTACCTTCATTATTTCTTTGTATCGTCTATTAAGGAAAACGTTTTATTTGTATTGACGAGATAGAATACGTTACCGATCAATTGCGAACTTCGTTAATTTATAATCTGACTGGTGTTCGATCAAGAGCTTGACTTGACCTTGACTATGTGACCCCCCCCCCCGCCAAAGCTGAACCCACCCTTGCTTACAAATGTTACTAAATATAGTTACGATACTAGTTACGAGTATTGTTGATTTGTAAGAGTTTGTAGCCTAAACTGCTGAACGATCTCGATAAAATTTGGCATAGCTTACTCCGTTTTTTTTTTAAATTCCACGCGTACAGAGTCGCGATCAATCAACTATTTCATGAACGTTACAGATTTTTTAAAGAGAAACCATTAAATTGTGAACTCTTTTTTATTGTATTTATTCACAGTAGAATATTAAAAGTTAGATAATTGGAAATTATGTTGGCTCCAGTTTATCTCATTTGACATAATAGATCAAATTGTTATTGGTCCAGAGGGTATATCAATATTTGCTTGACAATAACGAAATCATGTTAGTATCGTAATTGATAACATTTCTATAAGATTTTAGGCTGCATGAATTTTGTCGATTTACCTTAATACGTTGTCACAAATATTCGTGATAACTCGCCTCTTCATGTTATATTTACATTTTACAATCAGACGAAGACAACAATCTATCCGTAACATGTACATAAAAGGTATACGAACAAACGGACTGTGATGCAAAACGATCAGTGAACGAAGAACCTTGGTCGCGATATGTTGAAAATACTCTTGCTAGTCTCGCGTAAGTTTTTTTTTTACAACAAACCAGTTTTGTATTGTTAAATGTCAAACTGAACATCAAAGATTCACTATACAATACTGATACGGGTTATAATTATATTTTTAAAATTAATTTAAAACACAAGGAAAGAAGGAACCTTCCAAAATGTTATTATTTGTGTGAAAACTACGTTTTCATTATCATTTGACTTAATCTCACTCATCTAAAACCATATTTATAAAAATTATAAAATTTGCTTCACCGCATATCCCATAATACTTTTTGTATAAGCGATGCAAAGCGAATCGCTACCTAGTTATTTTTATAAATAAAAAACCTGGAAAAGTGCTGGCTGGAATAAGTAATTAAGCAAGACCCTTAGTTAAAATCTACACTGAGAGGCAGTTAACTATGTTAAAAAACACAAACATACAGATATAACAAATGAAATCTTGCTTCAAACATCCTGTTAAAAGCGTTTTTCTAGCGCTGGAACGGTTTATTCCGCTTCATTCCTCGATGATGTCACTAATAAACAAAAAATGTAACTATTAGAGAATCGATAGTCGGTTATATTGATAATAAACAACTTGGAAACAGATTAGACTTTAATCGGTCCCGACAAACCTCATTTAGCTTTACTACATTCATACTTTTAAACAAACAATAATAATAACAAAGTTATTATACTTCAATACTTAAGTGTATAATTTACCGCCATAATGGCGCGGTTATTTTATATTGTTATTGACATTGACAGTCATAGGGAGGGGACGTGTATGTAAATGATCTAGTGTTGCGCTACACCGGCACGGTATCGATTTTCTTAACAAAGATATCCGTATACTTGTCGGTTTTAAATGCTCTTGATGCCTCTATCTACTAGTATTTTGCTCCATGCCAACCAGTTATGGGTAACTGAGCTATCAGATGAGTTTAATTTGAACAATAGAGATCAGGTCCCATATTTTAGTACATTACGTTGAGTCGTGAATTTCTAATTTAGTTGTTGACCCACGGCTACAAGGGTCAAGGTTATGTGGCTGATTTGAACCGGTTTGGAGCTGATTCGCACACGTACCGCCATTACATGATGCTGGTTTTTTGCAGTTTCAGTTGCGTTTGCGACTGAAGAAGATGAATTCTTTTTCTACGGCCATGAGTACAGACGAACGGAACTCGGCGATGCGGTTGATAAGGCTTCCATGAGATTACTGAAGGTACAAATTAAATGTAATATATCCCAAATACATAATTTATGGTTTGTATCGCCAGCGAAAAATTTAAAAGATATGCCATACTGTTTTAGCATTTATCAGCTAATTTCCCGTGCAAAGGTTCTAGTTTACCCGGAACAAATGTTGCCATAAGAACACATAGATGAAAATTGCTTTTTCGTTATCAGTATGCAAATACGTCATGATTTATCATGATTTTTTTCACGATATTATATAGAGACAATCAAATTTTATATGTATTAGGTTGCTTGAACAATCACCCTCCCCCCCTTTGCCTCATGAAAGGCGAAGTCAGGAACAAAAGGCAGTTATAGTTTTTAAAACCTTATTTGTATTTGTTGCAGGATTTATATGAATCCAGTGAAGAGAAGAATGTTATAACTTCACCCTTGGGCGTGCTGACGCTCCTCTCTTTGTACTCAACGGGGACTACTGGAAAGGTTAAAGAGGAAATCGTCAAATACCTCGGCTTACCTGATTATAAGAAAGTAAGAATTTAAAATTTCATCACCACCTCACTAAACATAGTTAAGGTGACTAGGCCATAATCAACCACGCTGGCCTAGTGCGGGTTGGTTGACTTCAGACATATCTTTGAATTTCTTCGCCGATGTGAAGACATCACGATGTTTTCCTTCACCGTAAGAACGTCGGGTAACTTGTGTACATATGAAAATTCGAAAAATCGAAATACACATTGGTACATGGCGGGATTCGAACCCAAGACCTGTAGATTACAAGTCAAGTGAACCAAAGAACCACGACGCTCTTTAAAATTTACTTATTTGATATTTGAAATACAGAGTTTACTAAATATTAAAAAAAAAAAAACAGTCATTAACTAACATGACTGTTCGTGTTTATTTTGGTTTATCACCTCACCTTATGTGTCAAAGTTCAAAATGTCTTGTTTGTTGTACCTTACTTATGTATGCATGTAATCTCAAACGAAATAAATAAATTGTAATTTAAAAGCTATATGAGAACATTACGATGACTAGTAATATTCTTTTTCCAGATGACGGAATCGTACAGTTCACTGACAGAGAAATTTACCTCCATGAACCCTGATTTCTTAACCATGGCTAATAAGGTGTGCGTGGCAAGTCGATACGAGTTAGCCGACGAGTTCACGAACGTAGCTACACGTGATTACCACAGCGAAGTACAGGCTCTCAACTTCACTAATCCTAGTGAAGCTGCCAGAATTATTAATGAGTGGGTAAGTTACTGCGAACAAGAAAATTACATCCAAAAATCTATTACGAAGAAATTTTCGCGGTTCCAATCTATAGTAATATTATAAAGAGAAAAGATTTATTTCTTTTCTAACTTTGTATATAATGAAATAACGCTAAAACTACTGGACCGTTTAAAAAAATTCTTTTACCATTAAAAGGCTACATTATCGCTGAGTAACATAAGCTATATTTTTTTAGTTTCACGCGGGCGAAGTCGCAAGCGACCGCTAGTAGTCTATACTGATATTAAAAAGAGGAAAGATTTGTATTTTTGTGTGTATTGTAATGACTCAAAAACTGCTAGACAGATTTTAACAATTTTTTTACTAATAAGACTCCCTTATCGCTGGGTAACATAAGCTGCATTTTTACTATTTTTTAATTTCACGTGGACAAAGTCGCAAGTATGTGCCAGTGAGTGATAAATGAGCAAATGGTTACTTGAATTAGTCGTAACAATAAAACGATAACTGTCCATAAACATCCGCAATAACTTCTCCATTGCATCCATATAAAGTAGATAGTGTGTTGATATATCTCGAAGTCAAAGACTTTTCTTATCATCTGTTCATTACATTGTAAAAGGATTAACAATTTTTATTAAATTCATTGATTTTCTTCACTTTGTGCCGCAATTTTTATAACCATATAATAAATCTGATTAAAAAATAAAATTGAAAAAAAAAAACGTTTGATCTCCAAGCAAACAAGAATTGCTTCTTATCCTGTTAATAAAAGTTCTTTGTTTCTTAAAGTCATTAAGAAGCATTGTTTTGTAAATAATGAGTAACTATTTGTTTGCATATCTCGTATTTCAGGCGGATCAGAAGACTCGTGGCAACATAAAGGAACCAGTTGACAAAGACACGTTTCCTCCAGAGACGGCGGCCGCTCTATTTAATATCATATTCTTCCAGGTAATACCTTAATCTAAGGGTTTCTCTGTTTTAGTTTTTTTAAACTCAACTGATATTACGTATTTAATCTTCACTATTTTCACTATTTGTATGCCCATGTGAAATGGGCCAGAGCTTGGGAGTAGAAGGCAGGTGCCCTACACTAGGGGAGCGAGCTAAATATTTCAAAAAATTATAATTGGTACTAAAACTACGAATGATATCATGTTGATGGTAGCTGCTTCTCCCCCCTAAATCTAGCCTAGATTTCTACCTCACTAAGTTTTTTCTCTTATGTGTTCCCAGGGTCACTGGCATGTACCATTCGAAAAGACGGACACCGTCGACAAGAAGTTCCATCTCAGCGCGACAGAATCTGTAGACAAACCAACGATGCATTTACTGCAGTCCTTGTTCTACCACGAAGACCGTGAATTGGGCGCTAGAGTAAATACATATCGTGTTCTATTACATCATTCTAAAACTTACGAGTCTATCGGGATTTTTAAAGAAATGTTAGTGAAAGAAACAAAATATGGACAGATGTTTTATACCTAAAGTAGTTCTTGTTCTTCCTTCCTCTTTTTTATAATATAAAGACACAACATTCTTCCTTGGAGTATAAAGGTTTTCGACATTAAGTCAGATAAAGCAAAGAAACAAAGGATTAAAAACGTGGCAACTAAGTGTAAGTCATCTCCCCTGCCTTATCCTACTCCCGTAGGGTCGGCGCACCGGGTTTTCGTCCTCCAAAGCACTCTATCATCCGTCTTCTCAGTCATCACTCCCTTCTTGATCATGTCACCTTTCATGCAATCCATCCATCTCTTTCTAGGTCTACCTCTACCGGTATACCCCTCCACATTCATAACTAACGTCCGTCTTGTTACATGCGATTCATCCCTTCTCATAACATGCCCATACCACTCTAACCTTTTACTCCTTATTTTCTCAACCACCGGGGCTACTCAAACTTCCTCTAATATACCCATTTTGTATCTTATCCAAACTAAGTGTAAGTCTTGTTACATTTAAATTTAAATAAAAAATCTTTACAGATGATTGAACTGCCGTACAAAGAGGAGGGCTTCAGAATGGTGATAGTGCTGCCGGATGCAGTGGATGGTCTATCTGCGGTGCTGGACAAATTGGCGCAGAAGGGGATGCTGGAGGACGTGTTCGCTATGAGCCCGCCCGGACAGGACGTGGACATCGACATGCCTAAATTCGAAGTCAAGTCCAAGTTCAATCTAAAGAACGTCTTGGTAAAGGTAAGTACAGGGATTTTGTTAGTAAGGAACAAACGTAGAATGATATGAAGGAAGTTTGATTGTATGTAGTCGATGTACACATGTAAGGACAGAATGTTTATTAAAAGGTTATATAGTTGTTGTGAGTAGAGTTGAAAATGGCATATTTGGATGGTTCGGACATGTGGAAAGGACGAACGAAAGTACATTAAAAAAGAAATTTATAAGCGAAAGATTAGTAGTGTTGGTCGGGGTTGTGCTCGTTGTATCGGTGCGTTCCTCTGGAGATCCCGGGACCCTCAAATCGCACCTGAGGGCAGCCACCGAGGGGGCTATGCTAGAAGACTTTATATCGTCCAGATTAATGAAATACTCAAGAAATGCGGTACCAAGAGCACCACAAACCGACATATAAGTAGATGTATCAGTGTCTTGAATAATGTTCGTGGTCTCTACCTACCCCTCTGGGTTGCAGGCTAGAGTTGTGTTGATTGTGTTGTCGTAGTCTATATAAAGAAAACACTCCTAAGATATACACTCTTTCAGGAAGGGTTAAGTAGTATATTTAACCAGCCAGCTGAAGAGATCGTGAAAGGCCAAGGAGTGGAAGTGTCCGAAGTGTTCCAGGAAGCATTCGTTAAGGTCGACGAAGAGGGCGCCACTGCTGGGGCTTTTACTGGTAAGACAACTATTTTCAAATCTATGTGTTTAAAATGACTGAAAAATGATGTGTGTGTTTGTAATATTGAAAAAATTATATTGCTGCTGACAAAAATATTTTTTAAAATTTAAGTCTGTCTGTCGGCAAGACCGCGTTGTTTAAATTTCGCTGTGACGAAGTTCTACTTACCCCTTGTATTATATAATATGCGAAAACACCACGGTCTTTATACTTTTCGTGTGCACAGGGGTTGTTTTGGTGGCTACATCTCTGTTGTCGCAGCCGCCACCGCCGCTACCCTTCAAGGTGGACCGCCCCTTCCTCTACGCCATCTTGCATCAGGACATCGTGTTGTTTGTCGGCACATACACGCACTAGGTTTGACTGAAAAACTACTGTTCAGCTGACAACCACTACTAAGTGTATCAAGATACAGGGCTGTTTCAAATTCACATTCATTGCTAGAAATTCGAATAAATGTTTTATTCATAAGTTAAATTGCATTAATAAGTTAAATATATCATTCCTAATATTTTCATTGTTTTATTTTTTTATATCCCAAAATGTTTAATGTCGATAACATGGAACATAGAGGTCCGTATTAAATAAAAAATTGTTGAGCTTTTTAAAAAATGGTCTTTGTCTCCCGGCTTTACGGATCTAGATGAAATTGGGCAGATGTAGAACATAGTTTAGTAGAACACATTTTTTTTCAAGTCAATTATTATGTTTTTTAATTCGCGCGGACAAAGTGGCAGACGAAAGCTAGTTAATAATTACTTGTAACTATTTCCACATGCGCATACCTATTCTTTGAACATTGGCATGTCAGTCAGTGTCATTATGACATGATGCACATGACACACTGACACCTGACATGACATGACATGAAAATGTCAAATTTTACTTTTAGGTTAGAAAACATACAAATAATTTAATTTTAAGCATTTACCTGTGGATATTTCTTTAATCAAATATTAATATCAAGTGCGCAAAATCTAGAAGTGTAAACAAATCTAATGAGAAGAATGGCTTTAATAAGGCGATATATCGGTAATGAACTTTTACAGCTGTTTATACTTATTTAAATGCTTTTTAATAAGAAAAAACATAAAGTGCAAGCAGTTTTCTGAATACATTAGTTTAAAAACGTCTTTGAAAATACAACGCCCGTTTAGGTCAAACTAAAAGGCGTACATCACTTAAACTATGCTAATAATTTATCAACTTTTGCACTATTTTTAATATTGTTACGATAAAGGACAATATTGAGACTTATTAGAAGAGTAATTTCCACAGATATCGGAGCCAATCTCACAGATGATATGTACCAAGGTGTGTACAATAAATCAAAGAAGCATGAACCAGACCTAGACAAAGTGTTGGAGAGAAGCTGGGCCAACGGGATGAGTAAAATGATAATAACAGGAGGAAGTTTAAGTGATAGCAAGAAAGCTATTGACTTATCTTATACTGATGGTAAGCTTTTATTTCATTTTTAAGATTTCTACCTACCTCTAAACAATTGTTGGAATAGACTGAAATGTAGAGCAGAGCAAAATTTCGGTCATTTTTAAAACTTAATAAGTATGTAATTTCTTTTTTGAGGCGATAAATAAAAAATATGTAAATACATATTCATTCATTTATCATAATTGAAACAAGGTTTTACTTTTTCATGTCATAAATTAGAAGCAGGTATCAAAAATGTGGAAAGTGAATTTAAGTCTTGTTTCAATAGTTTAAAGTTCTATTTGTCACAAAAATTGCTCAACCCAATGCCCAGATCATTTTTCATTCTATTCATATTGTGTGTGGAAATGTGCAGATCGAAGACACTCTCACTATACTTGCTAATAATAGTCCAAAAAATGCATATTTTTATAAATCTTAGATATCTGTAGAGTTATATAAAATAACTTTTCAGCTGAATCTTGTTGAATTTTCAGCAAGATTGTATGCTACAGTGGGATGTCATCCAACAAGATGTAATGAATTTTTTGAAAACCCTGAAACATATTTAAATGGCCTAAGAGATTTAATTACTAAGCACAGAGACAAAGTGGTAGCGATAGGAGAATGCGGTTTGGATTATGACAGACTCCACTTCTCTGGAAAGGAAATACAACTTAAGTGAGTTTTAGAAAAAAAGTGACAAATTGAATTTAATAAAAACACTTTAATTTAGTGGTTTACTAGCTTTTCCTCGCGACTTTGTATTGAATTAAAAAATCTAGAAGTAAATGTTTTCTGTTGCTCGGCAATAATGTAGTTTTCCGATAGCAATATTTTGTCAATTTTTTATTTATTTATTTAATATTTGGAAAACTTACAGTCTTAATGAACCTAGGTAACTATAAAATAGATAACTATGGGCCAATGAAAAGTTTTCACTTCGTAGCAGAAACAAATAGTTTTTGGGATTAACAACAAATTTTTTTTTTTTTTAGTATTTAGTTAATACTGAATTGTTACAGATATTTTGAATATCAGTTAAAACTAAGTCGTGAATTCAACTTACCATTATTTCTCCATTGTCGGGCTGCGGCAGATGACTTAGTGGATATCTTGAGGAGAAACAAGGATAACATTGTAGGAGGAGTGGTACATTCATTTGATGGTCCAAAGGATGCTCTTGAGAAGATATTAGACTTAGGAATGTATATAGGTATAAATGGATGGTGAGATCTGTAGTATTTGATACTAGCTTTTGTCCTTGTGGAATTAAAAAAAACAAAAGTAAGTAGTCTATGTGTTTTCCAGAGTATCCTCTACATCTATACCAAATTTTATTGAAATAAGTTCAGCCGTAACTAAAACTCTAGCAAACATCCATCCATCTAACCTTTCGCATTTATAATATAAGTAAGGTTATAGCTAACTAGCTGTTGATCGCGTCTTCGTCCGCGCAGAAATAAAAAAATTAATAAGAAAAGCCTATGTTACTTAGTGATAACATAGGTATATATCGGTGAAAGAATTTTTGAAATTGGCCCAATAGGTTTTGAGTTTTTTCAGTACATACAAAAAATTATCTTTCCTCTTTATAATATTAGTATAGAAGTATAGATAGAAACCGGAGCGAAAAAGGAAAAAAGCATTACTTTAATAGATGTATAGTAAGAAACATCCATCCATCCATCCAAGTAGTTGCTAATATTAGTATGATAATTTTCAGTTCACTAAGAACTAAAGATAATTTGGAAGTGGTGAGAGAAATACCACAAGATCGTCTTATGATGGAGACAGATTGTCCATGGTGTGAGGTGAAAGCAACTCATCCTGGCTATCCGCTTGTTTTCACCAAATACCCTACCATTAAGAAAGAGAAGTATACTATAGAATCTGGTAGGCAAGTCAAAGGGAGAAATGAACCAGTAAATATTGTGTGAGTACACTTTTTGATAGTTAACCCTTTACCAAGCAAAAGTTACTATTTTAAACTAGCTTTCGCCCGTGACTCCGTTCGCGTGGAATAAAAAAAAAGGAGTAGCCATCCAGGCTATCCTCTACGTCTAGCCAAATATCATCTTGATCTGTCCAGCCGTTTAGGCTACAAACCAATAAACATCCATCCATCTATCTAAACCTATAATTTATAGTATTAGTAAGATAAGTGGATTGTATAGATTTTGAAGAAAAAAACAATACACTTTTTAGAGTGATTTTTTTGAATTTCAACACTTTAACTTATCTTTTTAGTGTACCATCATTAACTTCAACTGAAAAAAAAAAAAAGGTTTTTTTTTTTAATTTTTTTTATCAATAATGTTTTAGTGACCATACTGCAATTTTTTTTCAGGCAAGTACTTGAAATTTTAGCAGGTGTACGAAAAGAAAACATTAATGAACTAGCGGAAACTATTTTCAATAATACAAATAAACTGTTTTTCAATAAATAAGTTAAATATCAATAAAGGAAAAAAAATTAAGACCTATAAGGTCTTTAATTTATATCTTGAGTTTTATTTCTACAAAAATTAACATATCAAAGTAATTTATTAAGATTAAAAATAAAAAAATCCTGTGGTAAATAGGTTTTAAACATAAGGTTGTTATTTGCAGCATTTTTTAATTTATTCAAGTGTATTCCTTTTCTAAAGGGTTTACATTTAGTATGACATTGGTCAAGAATAAAAGACATTTTTTCTCAACTGTTTTTATTCCACATTACAATATTAAACACACACGATCTCTCTAACACAAATAAATAACACTACAAAGATAAACTTTATCTTCCAATAAAGTACTTTATATATCTTGTTTTTCGGTGACATTTTATTATTGAAAAAAATGCTTTTAGATTTACCTAACAAAATGCATATATTCACAATATTTAGCTACTTTAGACAGTATGAATAATAAAAATTAGCCATTATTATTAAAAATTGGCTATAACTTTTTAAATGCGTCAGGAATGTTCGACCTTGCCAATACTGGTTTGTACTACAGATATTCAAATCAATAGACAGGACATTACGAACTAATTACTATCAAAAACTCTACTATTGGTTTCTACCAGATTGTCTAGATTGGTAAAGCTGTATTAACAATTATTTTCGATTTAACTCATACAAGGATATTTGATCCAGCGAGATACTACTATTGTAGATAGTTTTTTAATATGAGGTGGAATAAGCAAGCCGCAAGACATCTGCAATAAAAGAGATTATTTCCCCTTCGAATGCATTTCCCCCTCTTTTAAATCAATTTGCCCTGACGGATAATTGAACATATCAAGAAATCATAATAAAGAGGAAAAGTGGACTAAAAATCTGTCACAAAATATTTATCTTTGACATAAAAGCACAAAAACACTTTTTTGACATAAAGAGTCATAATTTAGTTTGACTTTTAGGACAATGGGACAAATATCCTTGTTGGTCTATATGTTCCAGATATAAGTAGATTTTCATAATGTCCGCTCTATAGTTAGTATTTATATCCGTGATTTAATATAAAAATGATTAAAACAAAACATTGTCATGATAAAAATTTACATTAAATGAAACATTAAAATTGCATTGAGTGAAAAATAATTTACAAATAATTAGGGAGATCCGTAATATTCGTTGCAATTGATTTAATTCATATTTTTTATAAATAATGATAGCTAATGAATAAAATTTGTGCTCTATATAACAATATGTACATGGGAGAAAGAATTAAACAAATTTTTGAACAAAAAAAATTCCATCAGAAAAATTAGACAATTTGAAAATGTTAGTTTTTTTAAAATACTAAAAGTTTTTTTTTTACTAGACATTACCAATATTGTATATTTTAACCCATCAGAAAAATCTAGAAATTAAAACAAAATTACTTTCAGTTCCAAATGTTTAAATAGATCTACACCATGATTGCATTTCTGACAAAAAAAACTAGTAAATAATAAACGAAAAACATGGACCTTACAACTAAATGAAGACAATTCTGAAAGCAGTGAAGTTATTTTCAACAAAACAAAATTGTACAATTAATTTGACAACAATTCATTAACAAAATTTAAACAAAAAAAGATTCTAAAAATGTATTACACAATTATATTCAAGATACTTACTATAGATATAATTTCTATTGTAAAGAAACAAAAAATATAACTTCACTCGCTTACAGTTGAGATTTTACTACGGAACACATATCTGCACTTGTGATATAAGATTGGTTATCACAAAGTCACCGTTCCTTCAGGGTATCTCCGAGTAGACATGCACTTGCTCTCTGAACCAGTGGAAATACGAAGATACGTGGAACCGTGTCGCGTTTAACGCTAACTGCGTTTTATTCTGCAAAATCTCCGGTGCCCAATCACCTCTGCAAATAATAATTAATAAGATCAATTCTAACTAGAATGGTAAACCAAAGAAATTATTCGAGTTTGTTCCTTGGAGATCCAGGATCTATGACTATGTTGCTTTATGATGGTCACTGATGGGGTTTTAGTGGGTTAAATCCTACATAAACCTGCCTTCACCCCAGAGGCCAAGGTATCTTTGGAAGATTTCCTCCCAACACCGGTGAGTGAATTCAGATATAACTGATGGAAGTATGGAAGAGCATTGTAAAATTTAACTTACACAAAAACTTTAGTTTTGAAGTATTCAGCCGTCAAGAAATAATAGTCGTTAAAATACTTCTTTATAGTAACAAAACCATTTAAGGTACAGGCATGGATGTTGTCAACCAAGCCGGGAGCATACTGGTCTATCGCCGCAACAACCACAGGAGTTTTTTCAGTTACATATTCCCTCATATTCTCATACAATACACAAGCCTTCTTCATTGTTATTATGAACACATCTTTAGATAATTGTAAGTATGGTTTACAAGCTTCGACTGTTTTCACATAGTACACTGGAGTATTTGTCTCAAGCCAAATGTATCCACGGGCTGATGTTGATAGAGTCTTCTGCCAGGCCTTTTGGCTGTGCTCCAACACACCAATATCATTCATAAATCTACCAGTTGTACTTTCTAAAAAAAACACATATTGGTTACAATAGAATAAAGATAAGATAATTAGAGAAAAAATAAAACAAAAATGTAGTAATTTGACCTTTAAAGGCTTTAAAAATATAAAAACTTTATAGTATGAAAATGTTTATCCAGTTTTGTAGATATGTGAAAAATTATTACATAAACTTGATTATCAAGTGAAAACAATCTCATAATTGTAATACATTGTTGAACAAATAACAGTCCTAATGTGAGAGATACTACTTATCAAATGTAAATAGTCTGCCCTAAGAATAACATAGATAAAAGAGTAGTAAAAAGTTAATTAGGTGCACAAACACTTATCAGTGAAACATAATACATATGCATTAAAACAAATATTTGTCGGAGTGACGAGCGGTTTGTACTATTAATACCAAAGGCAGATCATATATACGGTAACTATCCTCCATTGTGGGCGTGCATATGTCGGAGATAATGCAATAACAATCGCGAACATTAAAAACACCATCCTTAGTCGACCACCATCTTATATGAATACTGCACACATAAAATCGGATTGCAAACATTTGAATCACTCAGCCAGTACTTAAAATTATTAATTGCCAGTGACTTAATTGTTCAAAAAGTATCAATTATTTTACACAGCTACAATTATTTGTAGACCATACTCATCATCAACTTGCTCTTATCCTTCATGGAGGGTCGGCACATTATGTGCTGCTCTTTCATACATCTCTATCAGCCGTCATATCTGAATACACTCCTTTCTTAAGCATATCCCCTTTCACACAATCCATCCATACTTTATTCAGTCTTCCTCTTCCTTTGTAGCCATCCACATTCATTCATTTATAGACCATACTCATAAAATAGAATCTACTCTGAAATGGATAACAATTCAGATCACTTACAGTGTTGAGCTGCAATTTAAGTACTAAATTACCACTACACAGTTTAAGATTTTACTGGAACTATTCAAGCCAGTTGTTGACTTGCAATGCACAGCTACATACTCAAATCAATATAGAGGTACATTGATTTGTAAATTTGTTAATTAATTTGTTTCACCCACACACAAAAAGAGTCATGTAAACTATAAAATTAAATTAAAATGTGCCTTTTTTTCATTGTTTCTACATATTGCAAGTTAACAAAAACAGTTACATTTCTAAACATATTCAGAGATGTTATTGGACCAGTTGTGTGGAATATACTTACTGGGGAAGCTGCCTCCAGCCCTGGAGACATCATAAGCAATCAACCCAGCGATGCCAACCAACAGCACAAAGCTGGCCCACAGCCAAGGGAACCTTCTAGTGCTTGTCATTCTATCTAGAATATCCTGTGAGAAAAAAAAATAGAAATTATGAATGAGGCAACAAAGGCTTACATGCTAAAGACAAAGTATTATGTTTTTTCAATTTATCTTCACTATGTTATTGTAAGCTTTTAGCACAAAATTCAATGAATATAGCAAATTTTGGAAACGAGGTATATATTACACATATTTTCTTTCATAGATATAAAACTAGTAAGAACAAAGGTCATAAAACAGGAAAATCAACTATGTTGTAAATTTTCCTGGTAATGTACTACATTTTAAATCATAGTTATATTTTTAAAAGTATTCAAATACGAGAAAAGTTAACACGGAAACGGACTATCAGGTCAATAATTTCTTTTTCCACAAAAATATAGACGCGGCCTCCCGCCGAGTAACGGATGTTGTACGAATCAACATTTACAGTTACAAAGCAAGGGCGTATGCTTAAAATCGAAAGTGTTTCTAATTTCCATCTATAGGATTGGATAGAAAAAATCACGGCTTTAGACTTGTTTTATGGAAAATTACACATAGCAATTATCACGGGTAAATATTTTTTAGCAACATTAACATACCTTATTGAGTCAGAAAAATTATTTCTTTGTTATGAAAACACTCAAACTTTATCGAATTTATTAATCAATATCGCAAATTGTATTTTCGATTTAAAATTTTGAAACAAAAATGTCGTCTTTCCTACTTCTTTCCGAAAGAAGAATAATGAATGGAATTGAATGATTGGTTGGTTATTGAACGTGACAGATCAGTGTTGTCAGCACAAAATAAGACCAAAGAGTAATCTTTGAAGTTTTTTATGCAGTTTTTTTTTTAATAAAAACAAACATTTAAATTAATAATATTGAAAATATAATTTTGGTAAATTTTAAAAATCTACTTTAAATAAATAAATCTAATTGGAATCTTACCTGGCATATTTTATCAGCCTTGACCACAGTTTCATCTTTTTTCTTCCCTTTTAATGCATCTTTGCTTATCTCTTTATATTGTAGCACCGTGGTTTTCAAAGATTTCAGTCTCAATTTTGGACTTACTTCAGTCCAGTTGCTATCTAATAGGATTTTCAAATAATAACTAAATTTTAAACAAAAACCAAATAAGCCAGATTAAATTAGTCAATAACATAGTTTTACTTTGAAACCAAGAAATTTAGGATATTCGATTTATCCTGTTAATAATAAAATTGCGTATATTTGAGTTAATTAACGGATTTTGATTAAATATGGTATAGATGTGGTCAAGAAAATATTATGAAATAAATGCTTCTCCAGTCTTACCCCCAGTTAGTCCAAAAACTTTAATTTCTTATAAGACAAAAATAATATACTTACTAATGTAATCTAGTAGAGTAGCAGATTGTTTAGTGCACTTGTGGAATAGTTGTCTCCATGTTGCATTACAAGAGTCGTCTCGTCTCAGACAGTCAACCAAACTGGCAACCAGCACTCTATTGTAAGGATCCAAGGAGTTCCCACTCAAATATTGATTGGGCAACTTTTTCATAATTTGGTTAAACGTTACTTGCAATTTATTTCCACTTTTATTGAAAAATACATCCTGTAATACAATATCTATTTATATATATTTCTATACTAATATTACAAAGAGAAAAGATTTGTATTTTTTTTGTATGTATTTGATTGACGCAAAAACTACGGGACCGCTTTAATAATTCTTTCACCATCAAACAGGGTTGTCAGTAACATAAGCTACATATTTTTTATTTGTTTTTTTTTTTCTATTTCTCATAAGTTTCATAATTTTTAATTTCAACAGCTAGTCTATTATAAATACGAATGTTTAGATTTGTTGGAGTTTATAGAATGGCTGAATAGATCTTGATGAAATTTGTCATAGATGTAGAACATAGAAGAACACAGAGGCTACTAATTTAAATTTTGGATAGAGTGGCGGGCGAAAGCTAGTCTATCATAAATACGAAAGTTTAACAACCTAACTAACTACCTTAGTTTTTTTTTTTAATTCAATGCAGACAAATGTTAAAAGTAAAATTTAAACAAAAGTAAGTTTGTTTAGTAAATACCAAACTAGCATCATTTTTTTAATGTAAGGCAATAGTATTTTTTCTTGTCATTTCATTCAGTTAAAATTTAAATGTTGATGTTACATAAAATTGTTTGTATAAAATGTTAATAAAAGTTTTTTAAATGATTTTTTTAGAATACTCACCTTATATTTACTTAATTGTTGTATAAGGTCACTTGACAACTCTCTAGATAGATTGTTCTTTTTATTGTTTATCAAATCGAACATAGCAAACAGTTGTTCATGAGTTATTTTGGTTGCATCCATTTTAGCATGTCTATCAAGGAGCATAGATAAATATGTTATTATATATTTTGTGTAGCTCTTCAACTCAATTACAGGAAGGAATAATTCTTGCCAAGCTGAAACAAACACTTTAGTAAGAGATGAATTTAAAAACTACATTTCCAATGAGTTAGCAATTCTATGATTTATTTGTTGCCTTCATGTTTTTTTTTTAAACATAAGGTGGCAAACAAACGAGCGGCGACCTGAATCCGCCAAATTAGCGAAGCAACCACAGCAGTTGCTTGAGGAGACGCACATAAAGAGAATATTTCCGCTTCCTATGCATCTCCTGCACCGTCAAATCCATGTTCCTTTCCCATCCTTTTCTTATAAGAAAAAAGGTGGCAAAGTAAAAGGGACTAAAGTTGGGTCTGTGTTTAATAATCTATAGAATGTTAGTAGAAAGTTATATAAAAAGTTTGTTTCTATAAGGTTTACAGGTTATCTGTTGCCTTGAGAGGCAAACGTGATAACAGACTTTATCAAATGTCAGAGTGTCAAAAATAATCTACTATCAAAATCCAATAAAACATATTGATTTCCATGAAAATAAATACTATATTTAAATCCCCAAGAAAAATCCAACTTCAGTAACTTAGTTTACAGAAAGATAGTATGTCTTTTTTTTTTAATTTGAAGATGGAATATAAAATATGTGCAGTCAAGGACATTTATTTCCTACCCATAACATTCAATTTGAAGTGGGGAGCTAATTTAATTCTTTCACTGCAATGGTATAATCAGAGGTAGGGAGACAGGTGCCTTGATAAAATATGTAATAACTCAAATAGACCATATTCATAACTGCCTAGATCTTAGATTGACTGATGCTTATATCTTACTGTATTTAATAAAATCTGAGACATTAATAATCAACATACCTTTCATGCCAACATCGAAATCACGAAGACCACCTTGTCCAAATGCCCATAGCAATGACAAGCCAATAGGTGGTCGGTTTTGATAGGAATTTCTAAGACTGGCACTCTTAGCTGTTGACGCTGTGCAGAACTCAGGGTACTCTTGTGCCATCATTTGAAGAAGTAGTCTATGGCCATTTACTAATTGACCTATAAAATACTGTTATTTAAAAACTGATTTTAAAATACACCATATATTTTCTTTGATTGTAACTAAAGAAAATAATTTGACCAATACCATATTACAGCCACTTAACATCACACTGTATCATTATTACTAATATTATGAATACTGTTTAAATAAATGGATGGATGTTTGTCACAATCTTGTGAACATCTTAATGGATCTCACTGAAATATGGAATTGTTGTACAATCAGCTCCATATACATTGTATACATTTTCACTTACAAAATATGTATTTAAGCATCCTTATATATACTTCAAACCAATACATATCATTAATGGATAAGTTTATATACATTTTTGAAAATAATAACCTATGAGTTTCTAGAATTTTGTACATTTATATATATTTATGAAGCTAACTGTACATAACTAGATTAAACAGTCTAAAATTTTCTTTAAATCTACGAGGGCTAGTTTATTATAAAATTACTAACCTCTACTCATGTCATTAGCCAAAGCTGTTAGAGTGATATCAAAGAACAACTGTATGGTAGCTTCTCCAGCATCCTGTAGCAGCTTCTCCAAACAGGTCTTCAAATCAACGGGTACACTGCTTAATGGATACAGAGCATCGTAATTGGAGAAAGTTGGGTCTTCAACTTCTATTTGTATCTTTATGTTCAAAAAACTGGCAACTTCCTTCAACCATACTAACGGTGCATTCGAAAATCGAATCTTATTTGACGTTATTATATTCGCAAGCTCGTATGGATCAATCTATGGACAATAAAAATAATAATTAGTGTCTATGGCACAGTTCAGCGATTAATCAGAACAAATAATAATCCAATTTCAACCTCAGCATTATACAAATGTTTTTTATATAGAAATTCATATGTACTTATTCTTTAACATTTTTAAAATAGCACGTATCTGTGCAAAATACAAAGATCTATGAAGTTAACTTGTTCTGTGCTAACATGGTTGACTAAGGTGTAGTCACCCCTTAATTAGGGTAAGCTACTAGACTTTTAATGGGGACATATACTGAACGATGAGTTGGTGACAATAATGTTGAGTGTGGTGCCGGAGGCCTAATTATGGTCCCATTTCCTTTCCACCCTTTTCTTAAGAGGTAAAGTATGGGGAGGTAAAGTGGATTTGACGGTGGAAGAGACGCATAGGAAGGGGAAATGTCCTCTTTATGTGCGTCTCCTCCTCCGTGAATTAAGGGTAGGTAACGCATATGCAATTGCAGATGTCTATGGGCAGCGGTCGCTTCGCCATTTTGGCGATTTCCGGTGGCCGCTTGCTTGTTTGCCACCTTATGTTAAAAAAAAAAAGGTAATTTTGATTCTAGAAATGTTTAAGGCATACTATGTTTAAATAATTCTATACATATAATGGACACATCTAATAGGAAATATCTATAGATATAAAAATAGAAAGTACCTTCCTTATCAATGATTTCTACAAACAATATTAATGTATTAGCTTTAGATTTTTTTTTTATTATTATTTGTTAAGCTAGCGCTTGATCACAATCCCACCTGAAGGAGGTGATGATGCAGTCGAAAGATGGTACGAACTAGCTTAATAGGTAGCGGTTCACTCTCCTTTTGAAGGCCCCCCATATAGACTATGTAGGTTAAAAATGCATTGACTTATAGACATAATTACTATTGTTCTTAACTATGTTAATTTTTGTTATTTATGTGAATGTAAAAGTAAAATAAATTGCAGGTGCAACCTGTTATGTAAATACTTGCATAAGAGTAATCTTGTTTTGCAACAAGCCAAATTTACCCTTCACTTTTCTTGTGCTTATGTATTGCTCAAAAAAGATTACAAGGCAATATTAAGAAAAGCGGTTTCAAAATTCAATTCCATGAAAAAGTAGCAAACTATATGCAACAAATAATTGAATTAAGATTTTATGTAACATATTATGTTTCAAAGATTTATTGGCATATTTATGATATTGTTATGTTAAATAGAATGTCAAAATTTTCGTATATTTGTTGTAAAAAAAAACAAAAATTAATGAATATGTACATTATAGTTTAATAGCCTATAAGTAGGTTAACTTTTTAATGAGTTATCTAGACTTACGGCTTCTAGTGCACCTTCGATTGTTTTCGGAGGCTTCGGCTTCGGAGGTTCAGTTTTCTTATCCTTTTTACCTTTTTTCTCTCCATCCTTCTTTTTATCTTTTGGCGGCTTTTTAGTGTCATCAATCTCCATACCCGCGTAAAATGATTTTATTTGAGAGTGTGGAACTAAAATGAAGTCATAACAGGTTAAATAAATGTAAACTATTTAAAATACTTAAATAACTATAGTAATACTAACCAATATCTTCAAGTTTCGGCAAGTTTTTATGGGGCTTCTTGTCATCATCTTTTCCCGTTTTTACTTTACCATTTTGAGATTTTTTATTTTTTCCAACGACTTCCCATTGTCCGCTCGACATTATTACAGTGTTTCAAAATAGATTTTAACAAATTATTAAATTTTTGTAAATAAAGGGAAAGCGACAGGTTACACGTCAAAAACAAATCAAATAACAAAAAGTGTCAAATCAAACTGACGGAAGTGCATGCAACTGTTTGTTCATTGGTCAGAAAATTCCACTTGGACAAAACGTGGCATTGTAATTCAAAATTGTACTCCATTTCATGATATTTTTGGAATGTTTCGTATATCACAGTTCAATAATGATATTCTCCGTAGGTTCGACTGATAACAATTGTTTTAATTAGCTATCTTTTTCAGTATATGTCCATTTTAATAAAAATGTTCCTGAAGTTCTAAACAACTTTTAGAATACAATACTCAAACAACACGATTTTTGTATTTTTATACTTATATTCCAATAAGATAAACCAACAATATTTCAATAAGATTTCGGTTTCATGTTCGTTCGAGTGAATCAGCTGACAGCTCTAACTTCTAACGTCACGTTTTATACTCTTTGCATGATCATCTCTTTGCAGTACGTCTTGCGTCAATCAGTTTGATTTTCGTCGTCTCTGTTTATGGTTACGACCAGATATTGACTCGAATTTAATGAAATTTACGTTCATATGTTTTCAAAATAACAAGTGTTGGTTGCAATTAGTTGTTCCATGGTCGCTTTACTGTTTAAAATACGTTAGAAAAAAATGGAGGACAAAGTATTGGTAGAGGAAGTGTGTATTCTCACTTTACGAGAAAGAGTGTTTTTCGCAGCGAGAGATGGCTTGTCTTTAACATTATATGCTTTGTTATATGAAAAAAATACTGACGAAATTGACGATTTGCTAAATAGGGTAAGTAAGTTTTAATAAATTTAATATTTCGATGGCATAATCATAACAGCCGCAGTAATTTTTTGACGCAGATTCCTGTCATTTAATTTTCTATTTATATCGACATAATTCGTACGTTACCTTTTGCGTGTCATGCAATGTTTGCGTTATTTAATTTTGCGTCGTTTGCAAGATATTCTCGAGGTTAATTTACCTCATTCCTATCTTTACGTCCTTGGTCATCTAAAAAGCAGTGACGAACCAAATTGCTTTGTATTACAGATACTACAAATTCTTAAATATATGATGAAATCAACTTGTGTAACATGATTAAAATACAGTTTGTTATTGTTTTAGTTAAATGTGAAATTTCTTTTAATATTTAAAGAATGCAATTCATCAATGTTTGGTTAGGTCATACTATTGTAAATACATTGAGGTCACGGTTATAGTGTTTTAATAAGAAACAGATTGTTAATAAGTTGTTTCAAAGATATTGATTATTTTTCTTGTAAAAGTTTTATAAGTTGATTATAATTTTTATGAGTATAGTAAAGTTTAACAAAAATTGAATAGATTTTGTACAATAAGCTAATTAATTACCACTTTTATAGTTTTATTTGACTTTAACCTTTGTACCTAACTTTGTACCATAAAATAGTTTTGAAACATTTTTTTGAGATATACATCAACATCTTTCATGTTCCTAGTCTGATCGAGTGGTCACCAGAAGGGCTTCTTGTCTCTCAAAACCTATTGTCTGTCATTTCAGTCTTTAATAATGTCAACAAACTTGGTACTCATATTCTATTTATAGCGGCCTTCCTTTATCCGCATCACATGTGTTGTTCATGTCATTGACATTGATTTATATTTAGACTCCTGACCGACTTGAAACATGCACCCTTTGCTCTTCCCTTTGCCATTGGAAATTGTAAACATATGCTTATTTTATCTCTGTAAGTGTGCATGTTTTGTAAGTGTATATTTAAGTAATCAGTATCAGCTTTCGCCCGTGACTCTGTCCGTGTGGAATAAAAAAAAAAGCAAATAGCCTTTGTGTTCTTCCACATCTATACCAAATTCCATCAAAATCCATTCAGTCATTTAGGCTACAAACTCTAACAAACATCCATCCATCCATTCAAACTTTCGCATTTATAATATTAGTATGATTGTAAAGGGTTTACATCCAGTATCTTGGTATTATGATACTCTGATATCTAGTAGATTCCAAGATCTAAGATATTGTAATATGGAATATCTAATACTTACTTATAGATAATGATGGTAGTAACATACAGCCTTACAAATAAACTCGGTATAAACTTGAACTTAGGAATTAACTGAGTATAAGTACAATTTGTACTTATATTACTTACACTCAGTTTATTCCTAAGTTTTGTACTGTGTTTATTTGTAAGGGAAATAGTGTTTAAAGATATTCCACATTACTATTTTGTTGTAATTTCCATCCAAGATAGTCATTATCAGCTAATACATCCCCACTGAGAAAGAGCCTTTGCAAAGTTAGGGTACCTAGGCCACAGACAAGCATGCTGGCTCAGTGAGGGTTGATACATGTCTTTGAATTTCCCTGTCATTATGTGCAGGTTGCAAAACAATTTCCTTATCTATATGGGTGTTGGATGAATTATTTACTTATAAAATTTGAAAAGCACATTGGTACATGATTTGAACTCAAGACCTGTAGGGCACAAGTTATAAATTCCCCACAAATTAAGTTCTAAGTGATTCCTAGTTTATAATATAGTGCTTAATAATTAATTAATTCACTATCAAATAGTAGTTCAAATTATGTAAAAAGAAAAATATGTTACATTATTGTTACATTTTACACATAGTTTTTATATATCTATTGATTTAGACAAAATATTTAATCCATTGTGGTATTGATCAAATACGATTTCAATCTGACTTCTCTAGTCTAAACAATGAACAAAAATGTAAATAATCTCATTGTATGCAAATTATTGAAGAGTCAATTACTTTTTACGTTATTAAACTAGGTGTAATAAATTTCTTTGAGAGATTTGAAGGGCTGAAATAACCCAGCTTAGTGTTTTCAAACTCACACTTTGAGTATGCTTTCTTACACCCAAGGATGTTGCCAGAGGTCAGCTGCCTCAATACAGACTCCATAAATATAAAATAGATATGAAAAATGCTCTGAATTTGACTATTTTTATGGTAGATGCCGCCTAGCCTTCAGCTGACAATGTGTACACCACCACCCTTAGTTCAAATATACCTCAGCTAACCAAATAATGTAAAATTTCAGGATATATGTTGGGAGGGCATAAAGTGCACACCGCTAATAGCCGCCTCGCGCCATGGCCGTGAGGCCGCTGTCAGAATGCTACTGGAGAAGTTCAGACCTCCTGTCAGATTGGAGACGGAAGGCACAGTCAAGTTTGATGAATATGTTATTGAAGGTTTGTAATATTTTATTTACAACTAGCTTTCGCCCGCGATTCCGTCCGCATGGAACCTGAAGCAACAAAAGTGAATAACCTATGTGTTCCTCCAGACTATACTCTATATCTATATCTATGCCAAATTTCATCAAGATCTGTTCAGCCGTTTAGCCCTTCAGCCATTTAACTGTAACAAACATCCATCTATCTAAACTGTCGCATTTATAACATTACTATGATTAGTAAGATATTGTGAAAGGATTTGGTACATTTTATGCTGTTTTTTAACATCTGTCAGCTGCTATAACTGATTCACTGATCTATATAAATGGATAGGTTACTTGAAAAAAATAGGTTTTAGTTCATTCAAATTTTACATTTGGTGATATTACTGACTGAAATATACACAATAATACATTGTCCTTATTAAAGACTGGGTGTAATTCATACATATGTATGTTTGACACATTTTCTGGTCTTCATAGACTTGTAGTCATCCAATTTAATTATCATTGAATAAAATAAAAACTGCACATTATTTGTTAATGGTTTACCATTAAAATTTTATTGTGGTTTTATGTTTCCGGTATACATCACACTTGCAAGTAAATATTTGGTTTTAATTTAATTAAAATTATAAGACGGAACGTCTTTGTTCGTTGAACATATTTGCAGATTTCGTAACATGGTTAACTCGGAAAGTGCAGCCTTGTGTGAGAATTACGCAAGTTTGCGATTTTTGTTGTAGAACAAAGGTGATGAAATTAATTGTTCCTAATGGCAAGAACGTTGACTTTTATCCTTGTTTTCGTATTGTGATATATTTAGTGACGCCTTTCATGTACAAAGGAGTTGGGATTTGACTGCACACTCACGATAAAGTGACAATGCGTTGGTTAAATATGGGACATTTTTAAATAGTAGTTAAACAGTAGTTTTATCAAACGTTTTTCAGTAAACACTACAAATAGTCTTTAAATGGAAACTAAGAATTTTCAAGATCGTTTTTTTACATCTTAAAATCCATTATCTATATAATTAATAAAATTGAAGTGTCTGTATGTAATACACAAAAAAAATCTCGCGAATTTATTTCCTGATATTACTCGCTGATAAAGTTTGGCGACAGCTCGTTAAATCTAGTTAGTGTGGCTTAATAACTGAGTATGGCATTTATTTTGTAAAATAACGATTGTCCTAACTTTTGCAAAAGGCCTGTCACCCTATCATGGACTTTTTGTACCTGGCATCAATCCAACCGTCTTTGTTTCCTCTGTATGACTTATAGCAATTAATTCGGCGTAAAGTGTTATAAATTACTTTGGCATTGCCGTACGATGTACACAAGTTGAGATCGTTATAATCGTGTTCCTTTGAAATGGAAAGTTCTACTAATGTTCGACGAAACGTGGGCATTTTAATATAGACTATGTTGAGTTCATGTTTTCTTTGTTACGATTTAAAAACAAAGATTGTAACAGTCTATTATTACTTTGATTCACGTGTACGGTTCTTAGTATAAGATTTAAAAAGACCACTGTTAGTATTCATTAAGAAAGTATTGAAAATACATGCATTTCCAAGTATTTAAAAACTGCAGCGCTTTACGCGATGATTTTTATCACGCAGTGTTGCATTTTAAGCATTGTGAGAACAGAATAAGAGTGTTTTTAAATCGTGCCTCTGCAATAAATCGCTAGTACGACTAAAGGCTTACTCATTTAGATTCGTAAAAGTAAAAACATTGATTCTTTTAAAACAAGGGATGACAAATAAATAGAGAATTTGAAATACGTAAAATAAACGTGAATAAGAGAGTGTCTCACGTCCAAATAAACTTTTATATCACAGTTTTCAAAGAGTACTGTTTCTGCTTAAATGAAGATAAATTTATACAAGCGATGTTCCTTTTTCTTTTCTTTCCTTTATTAGTAAAATATATGCCTCGGGGCAGACACGTGAGTTATGTGGGACTCTTCCCCCATAGTCAGGGGCATACCTCACCAAACCCCTTCGTTCCCTCCTGGCCATTGTGTGGGACGCCACGGGATCGCTTGCGCTTGCCACCGCGACGCCCCACTGTCTAAACCCCAACCTTCCTTTAACTCCAACTAAGCTCTAGGTCTAGCTCTTTAAATTATCCGATGGCACGTCTAAGACTGCATTGAAAAGTCCTTTAAAACCATAGCACTTAGATGTGTAAATATTTGCCACCTCTGTGGTCGGAGTTCACGACAGTTCGTAGCCCAAACCGAGATAACAGCGCGCTCGTTTAAAAGTATATTTAGTATACTATTCTAGTATTATTATTTCTCAATTTTCAGGTGCAACAGCTCTATGGTGTGCGGCCGGTGCTGGTCACTTAGGCATTGTTAAGCGACTTGTCCGCGCTGGTGCTAATGTTAACCATGCCACAAAGACGTTAAGTACGCCACTGAGGGCGGCCTGCTTCGACGGCAGATTGGATATAGTCAAGTACTTAGTTCGACACGGTGCTGATATACATAAGGCCAATAAATATAATAATACTTGCCTTATGATAGCAGCATATAAAGGACATTTAGATGTGGTAAGTTACATAATATATCTCAAGTAATAAGAGAAGTTAAATGCAACATTAACATATAGACTGATAGCTCCTATGTAAACTATTATAAGACGTAATTCTAAAATTTACAACTTGTTTTATGTTTTTTTACTACAACTATCGCACAACTGTTTAGTCTAGCTTTGATTTCTATGAGCTTGTATGGAGGTGCATACTACTCGATTTTTAGTTGCGCAACTAAACAGTTGAAGGCTGCGAAACAATCGACAATCGTACGATAGTTTAGTCAAAGGTCTGCGCCCGTTCTGAAGTGACAAATACTAAAATCTGTGTATATTTGAATTCTAGTTGGAAAGAACGGTATATTTTAGTTGTCTATCGTATGTTCGAATTTGCATTGTAAATAGTATTGTTTAAAAAATCGCTTTTCAAACTTACGTTAGTTTACCTAAGATCCATGGATATGCTAAAGATTGTTGTTAAAGAATTTGTATATTATTTGTACGCTTATAATCGATGTTGTTTTCGTTTTTATAGGAATTCTGTTCTATTGTCAATGAATTTACGTTTTATAACTAGACGTGACATCGTATTTCTTATCGTTTAAGGTTATACATAGAGTTCAATAGCATGTATTATCTAATCTATACAAATATAAAGAGGAAAGATTTGTATTTTTGTATGTATTGAAATAACTCAAAAACTACTAGGCCGATTTTAAAAATTCTTATACCGTTAGAAAGGTAATTTATCTGTTAGTAACATAGGCTATATTTTTTAATTTCACGCGGGCGAAGTCGCAAGCAACAGCTAGTGTAGTACATAGTTATCAGAGGCGTGGATTTATCTTGCACGTATCGTGTGAATATTCCAAGATTTATATCTATGTAGCGTTTGGTTTATAAACATTTGCACATAAATTTATATAATATGTTGTTAAAATAATAACAAGAAGTCACATAAATGTCTTATAAGAATAGATATGTTATTTAATTTATATATGTTAGAAAATATGAGAAAAATGCTAAAGATGTAGAACATGCTATAGTCTAAGAATCTTGTTCTGTATTTTTTATAACTGACTAGCTGTTCCCATGCGACTTCATCCGCATAAAGTTATGAAAATTTTATTTTATTGCTTACATGTGTCAAATAATCAATTGCAAATGTCAAAATGACATGACACGACGACAAAGCATGGCAACCTGGTCTCTTTCCCACATTTGAGTTTTTATCCAAAATGTTTACCCCCTAAGTTTAACAGTGTGAAAATATATAGCCTAAAGCGTGACGTAAGTGTAGGGCTTTTTATTAATAAAAGAATTATTCAAAAATATGCTGTAATTGCTGACATCTTAGGCAACAAAGAAGTGTGTGTTTACGCTTTATTATAATAGTATAGACAACGGCTTATGTGTTAATTTGACGAATAATTCCACACTATATTAGCTTTGTCATGCGACTTCGTCCGCACAAGAGAAATCTTAAGCATCATATAAACTCATTAATAACTAGCCTGAGTTTTTCCATATTTTACATCGATGCTAAATTACATGAGATATGTTCAGGCGTTTAGGTCACAAACTAACATGCATTTAAATTTTCGTATTTATATGAGTCATAATAAAAAAATCGGTACCGTGCCGGTGTAGCACTATATCATTGTCATACACGTCCCGTCACTATGACAGCTGTCAATGTCATTCAGAAGTATGAAGGATAAGCGCGCCAATTCTGGCGGGAATCCATAGACTAAGTATCAAAGTCGATTAACGTTGTAACAATTATATTGCCCTTTTCCCTATGTAGGTTCTGCACAGTATGTGTTGCTCTTCTATACATTTCTATCTGCCATATCTCAATCTACTTCCTTCTTAAGCATATCCTTTTTCATACAATCCATCCATACTTTCCGCCTTACTCTACCTTTGTAGCCATCCACATTCAATCCTCTTGCTGCCCCGTAAAAAAAACATTTGAATTTGTTTTCTTTATTAGTGTTGTTTGTTAGGTTCAGTTTCTGTTGGACTCCGGTGCGAAGGTGGACGAGCGCGCGCTGTGCGGGGCGACGGCGCTGCACTTCGCTGCGGAGTGCGGACACGCGGCTGTCGTCTGCGCACTAATAGATCATAATGCTAAAATACTCACTAATGAGAATGGTAAGTAATACCGGTGTTAGGGCGTGACGCCCAGGGCGGCTAAAGGGCGTTATTTTAGCTCTTTTGTCGTGTATTAACCGCCCAGGGCGGCATAAATAGGCGTCATATCCTTTTTTCGTATGTGTGTAGGAGTGTTCTAGCCCAGGGCTGGTAATGCTAAAGTAAGCCCTGGGCGAGTGCTAACTTTCGAAGTGACGTTTGGTTTTTAGTGTCATTTAAACTTGGATTAAAATATTGAAGAATTTAAAATTAATTTTAGTATTCGATCATAAGATTGACATTTGGTTATTCTAAATTGAAGTGTTTTTTCGCTATATTCGCTGAAAAGGCGAACCGACTGTTATTCAGACATCAGCGATTGCAGATAATAATAATAAGACCCCAGATCTATTTCCCTTTTTAACGAAAGAGACATAAAGAGGATATTTCCCTTTTCTATGGACTACTCCTGACAGCGACATATTTAAGCTATTTGAGTCTCTATCAGTCAGTGGTGGGTCAGGCCCTTTATTTTGATTGCGACAATTGATTTTGCATTCGTGTTAGGGTTTAAATAAACAACACTATAATATAGTGTTGTTTATTTTAACTTTATTTTTGAGCGACTTCCCAAAAGAAGGAGGTACTCAATTCGTCTGTATGTTTTTTATATATATACTAGCTATTCCCGTGTGACTTCATCCGCATTAAATTATGAAAATTTTATTGTGTACATGTGTTAAATTATCAATTGCAAATGTTAAAATGACACGACATGATGACAAACCACGACAACGTTGCTTCCTTGATGTTGGCAGCAACTTATAGTCTCTTTCCCACATTAGGGTTTTTATCCAAAATATTTACCCCCTTTAATGGCGTGAAAATATATAGCCTAAAGCGTGACGTAAGTGTAGGGCTGTTTATTAAAAAAAAAATTCAAAAATTTGCTGTAATTGCTGACATCTTAGGCAACAAAGAAGTGTGTGTTTACGCTTTATTATAATGGTATAGATATATGTGTGGCAGGTATGACGCCGCTGCAGTGCGCGGCGGAGCGAGCGCGTGCGTCGGTGGTGGAGCTGCTGGCGACGCGGCCCGAGGTGACGCGAGCGCAGGCTATAGAGGCCTACGAACTATTGGGAGCGTCTTTCGCTAACGATAAGGAGTATTACTGTTTGAGGGTGAGCAATTATTATTTACTAGCTCTCGCCCGCGACTCTGTCCGCGTGGAATCAAAAAATAAATAAATTGAGTAGCCTATGTTTTCTTCCAAACTATTCTATATTTGTGACAAATTTCATTCAGGTATGTTTAACTGTTTAGGCTAGAAAGTAACAAACATCCATCCATCTAAACTTTCGCATTTATAATATTAGTAAGATTGTAAAAAAATTGTCTATGAGTCCGTTTGCGGTTAAAAAACAATCTATGTGTTCTTCCTATCATCTAAATCTATGGCAAATTTGATAGAATTCCGTTAAGTCGTTGTAGAGATGCGTAGTAATAAATATTTATCCATTTATACTTTAGCGGTTATAATATTAATATGAATTTGTAAAGAATTTAATCTTACTAAAATATTAGTAAAAACGCGATGGATGGATGGATTGTTAGATGTGGCCTAAACTGCTGAATGAACCTCAATAAATTTGACATAAGTAGGATTGTCTGGAAAAACGCTTTAGTTTTATTTTTAACTAGCTGTTCCCGTGCGGCTTCATCCGCATGAAATTATAAAAAATAAATATTATTTACATTTTTCAAATTACCAATAGCAAATGTCAAAATGACATGACATAAACCATGGCAATCTTGCTTCCTTGATGTTGGCAACAACTTATGGTCTCTGTCCCACATTAGGGTTTTTAGCCAAAATATTTACCCCCTAAGTTTAATGGCGTGAAAATATAAAGCCTAAAGCGTTAAAAAAAAAAATATTATTCAAAAACATGATGTAATTGCTGACATCTTAGGCAACAAAGAAGTGTGTGTTTACGCTTTATTATAATAGTATAGATTCCACACAGACGGAATCACGAAAAACTATTTATATTTTATGTTTTGGAACCAACAGAATAGATTTAAATACGATTTTCGGTATATAGATGGCGTACCAATACCTGCACCGTGCGATGGCGATGCGGTACGACACTCGGTACGGACAGCTGCTGAAGAAACCCGCGGACCCAATACCAGCTTATGATAACTGGAGGGAGAGCACCACTATAGAGGTATAATGGAATTTTGTAGCCTTTTAATAAAAAAGGTGATAAAACTGTATCTATCAGTGGTCTAGAGGTCCATAGGATCCTCGGTTGGGGTTTATTATATCTGCAAATAAAGTGGTCCATTAAAATTTTGTATGTTTTCAACGTTAAATGTCCGCCATTAGGTATGTTCTAGTAATTTTAAGAAAATATTGATACATTTTTAATGTATTGTCAGAATCTTTTAAACAGGAAAAAAGCGTTCATATTCAATTTAAAAATCCACGGAAGTTTTGTTTTTAAATTTGTTTAAACTTTCATGAGACGTTACGTACTCTAGAAGCTAAGTAACAATCGCTTTGAATATGGTCCCCCCGTGTAATAAACTAGCTGTTCCCGTGCGGCTTCATCCGCATGAAATTTAATTGTTTACATTTGTCAAATTATCAATAGCAAATGTCAAAATGACATGACATGACAAACCTTGCAAATCTAATTTCCTTGATGTTGGCAAACTTATAGTCGCTTTACCACATTAGTGTTTTTATCTAAAATATTACCCCCTAAGTTTAATGGCGTGAAAATATATAGCCTATAGCGTAACGTAAGTGTAGGGCTTTTTATTAAAAATGTGTTGTAGTTGCTGACATCTTAGGCAACAAAGAAGTGTGTGTTTACGCTTTTTTATAATAGTATTGATTTATAATCTTTATTATGTTAGGAAGTGGAACGTCTGCACGGTAACGCGCACGCGTTACACATGGAAGGTCTGGCTGTGCGCGAGCGCGTGCTGGGCCGCGGCTGCCCTGATCTTCCTCATCCGGTCGTCTTCCGCGGCGCAGTATTCGCGGATGAGGCGCGCTTTGACCGCTGTTTGGCGTTGTGGCGGCACGCACTGCAGCTGCGACATCACAACAAGGTAAACTAACATGTCAGAGATTAACTCACCAACATAGAGTAAATAGTCAGAGAGTAAAATACTAAATATTAATGTAGATTAAGTAACCAACGTAGAGTAAAAAGTCATAGATTAAAATACTACAGAGTGATGTCATAGATTAACTCACCAACATAGAGTATATAGTCATAGAGTAAAATACTACAGACTGTCATAGAATAAGTGATGAACAATGGTCGTAAACAACCAGGATGGTACAAAAAATCGTAGCTAGCATACTTCAGCATCAAAATATAGCACTATTTTTACTCAAATTCTCCCATTTAAATATAAATTTATTTATTGTATATGGCACTGCTTAAATGATACCGGTTAATAATTATAATAACCATTTTTGTTTATAGGTATCAATAGTGAAGGATCTGTTGAGGTTCGCGCAAGTTTTCTCACAAATGATACACATCGGCATTGAACTGCCGTTAAGTCAGGTAATTTATTATTATTTAATTAAATTTAAAGTAACTAACTTGTTAAAAGGTGATTGAATATCAGAAACTACGCCAAGATACTTCTAGCGTTTAATTAACAATTTTCATTTATACTTGTTCATCTTGTTTTGTATTAATTGCTCTTTGACCGACTTCCCAAAAGAAGGACGTACTCAATTCATCTGTATGTTTCTTTTATGTTTGTTACGGTATAACTCCGTCGCTAGTGGATCCGTTTTGATATTTTTTGTGTTTTCAGGTGTGTTTTGTATTAGAAGCGTGTGCGGAGGAACTAAAACGAGGTCAGCAGAGGATCAAAAAGCCACAGATTAATTACGACCCTGAGGCCCTGATAGTATGTTGATATTCTTATATCTTATATTGTTCCTCATTACCCATTTTTAGTAGTAGTGGTGTGTTATCGACAAATGATTTCGATAGCACATCACTAGTTGTAGTTTACATTTTTAAAGCGTTTTAGTACACGTTTTAGTTTAGATTTTTGTAAATGTGTGATTTTTTATGTAACGTAATTTTTTTTTATAAAACCATGTTAAGGTTTTAATTTTTTTTATCGTATGGACGTTGCCAGAAATAGGGGGGAGTTCCCCTAGACCTAACTTAGGTTGTCTTACGCCAATAGTCTTTATGGACATTTTTATTGTATTTTATTATAGTAAAATTGTTATTTACTATATTATTATTCTGCTATATTCTTAATTGTAATGAGTAGTTTTTCAAGATTTTTTTTGTTTTGACTAATGCCGTTTATATTTGAGCGGTTAATTTTATATGTTTATGTAGCCAATATCAAAGCAACTTTTTTATATGTTTTTATAGCAACAGTTAGAGCGGACGTACACATATGACTAAACTGTCGCACAACCGTCGTGCGATTGTTTCGTAGCCTATCCAACTATTTAGTTGCACAACTAAAAATCGAGTAGTGTGCACACTAAGCTCATAGGGATCAAGGGACTAAACAGTTGTGCGATGGTTTAGTAAGATGTGCGTTCTTATCATCACTAAAGTGCGTACATATACTAACAAATCATCTGTATTTGTGTCGCGTTTACATATGCACAACAAACTTACTGTAGAAAACATTTAACAACTGACTGATATCGTTTTTAATATGTTAAAATACGGCCATTACTGAAAATACTTGGTAAGACGCTTATAATCTGACAGACGTTAAATTTTAATTAAATTTGAATTTAGAAACGGCATTTTAATCTAACTTCTAACTAATATTATAAATGCGAAAGATTAGATGGATGGATGTTTGTTAGAGTTTGTAGCCAACGATTGAATGGATTTCGATGAAATTTGGTATGGATGTAGAGGATAGTCTGGAAGAACACAGGCTACTCACTTTTGTTTTTTTTAATTCCACGCGGACGGAGTCGCGGGCGAAAGTTAGTTTTTATATATATGTACGTTTTATATGTCTATTTCGTCGACTGTCAGATTGTAAGTGGTTTACGAAATAGTGTTTGTTTTAGTTTCAGTATTCGGCTGTTAGAATGTAACAGTTATGTGTGTGGATGTAGACTGGCATAGATTGTATGCCGGAGTTCATATGAAAGTTTACCGTCAGTTGAGTGTACTGGAAGTGTGAAATTATTAAAAACTTTGTTTTATTGTTTACGTTTGTCGAATTCTCAATTGCAAATGTCGAAATGACTTGATGACAAACCATTGCAATCTTACTTCCTTGATGTTGGCAGCTTGTAGCTTATGATCCCTTTCCTTTTATTCAATTTATTGACCCCCTAAGTATAATAGAGTGAAAACATATAGCCTAAAGCATGACGTAAGTGTAGGGATTAAAGAAAAAATTATTCAAAAATATGCTGTGATTGCTGATATCCTCGCCACGAAGTAGTGTGCGTTTACGCTTTATTACATTAGTATATATTATATGTATGTGATATTTCTCATAGAATACGACTGTAGGCTATTTTCCGCTATTGCAAACTGATGATGATAGTTATGACAATAATGGTGATGATCATAATGATAGTACTAATAATGATGATAATGATAATAATGATGACTCATGTAAAATCTAAGTTAATGTTATAAATCTGAAAGTTTAAATGGATGGATGCTTGTTAGAGATTGCAGCGTAAACGGCTGAACGGATCTCGAATGAAATTTGGCATAGATGTAGAGGGTAGTCTGGAAGAACACAACACTTTTGCTTTTTTAATTCCACGCGGACGGAGTCGCGGGCGAAAGCAGTTATATACAAAATCTTGCTATCTCACTAATATTATAAATGGGAAAATTTAGATGGATGGATGGATGTTTGTTAGAGATTGCAGCGTAAACTGCTGAACGGATCTCGATAAAATTTGGCATAGACGTCGAGGATAGTCAGAAAGGACACAGGCTACTCACTTTTGCTTTTTAATTCCACGCGGTCGGAATCGCTGGTGGAAGTTAGTAAGGAATAAAGATATATGTGAATGATGATGGTGACGATGACGGTAGCAGTCAGTTGTGCAGTGTTGCGCAGTGTAGTGGCCGTGCGGTGTAGACGCGGTAGAGCGCGGCTAGTGTTGAATGTCAGAGCTTGGCTCTCGCGTACTCGCTGCAGGAGGAGTACGAGAGCAACGTGCGCACGGCGCTCTACCTGGTGGCGGTGGCGGCCCGCCTGCTGGAGGACCCGGATAATGATGAGGTCAGTTACCTATAACCCGGAATATTTCTTTTTATATTAAATTGTGCGGTTTTCGCGGAACTTTTTGCCCCGCACAGCCGCGTTGTAGAACGGTCTGTCATCGGTGGTATTTTCAAACCAATACGACTTAGGGTCCTTTAAGAAGCGAGCCTATCTTCAAAGGCCAGCAACACATCTCTATTTCCTCTGGCGTTGCATGTTCATAGGCGTAGTTGACCACCTCGGTGTTATCGCCGCACGTTTGACCCCTTTTATAAAAAAAAAAAACAACAAAGAGTTTTGATATAACCTGATTTAAATGTTTACATCATGTAAGAATTGGAATTCCAAAAATACAAAAGTATCTCACTTTTTTTAAATGTTTTTAAGTAGGCGTTTAAGAAATTCGATCGCTTCGCCATTTTGGTGGATTTAGATGACATCTTGCTCTCTTGTTACCTTATCATGTAAAAAAATATATCTCAATGTCTGACGCACCGAGACGTTTTTCAGTATGTAGAACTTTCGAAATAGAATAAGCTCCCTTTGGTATTGAAAATAAGAATGTCTTTGTTCCACACTAAGGATAATTACATCAATCAGTGTTGCCTTGACTTAACTGGGATACCTGTTTTTAAGAAGCCAACTTCCATTACAAATTTACAATGGTAGAGCCCGCTTTAACATCTTTGCACGAATGGGTTGGCTCGCCCGGTGTAATACCATGACCACACAGAAAAAAGTCGTGAAGTGGAAGCAATTCCGCGTTTCGTCTGATGAGTGTGGTGACGGAGGCCTAATTATAGTCCCTTTTCCTTTCCACCCTTTACTTAAGAGGAAAGGATGGAAAGGAAAAGTGAATTTGATGGTGCACGAGACGCATGTGAAGGGGAAATGTCCTCTTTATGTGCGTCTCCTCCTCCGTCAATGAAGGGTAGGCAGCGCATCTGCAATAGCGGATGTTTACGGGCAGTGGTCGCTTTCCATTTCGGTGAATTCGGGTGGCTGCTTGTTCGTTTGCCATCTTATATTTTTTAGCGAGAAACAGTAAAATGAATTGTTTTAAGTTCTAATTGTTATTGTAATGGATATATGTCAGGAGAGCGTGCGCGCGGTGCGGCGCGCCGTGTTCAGCGTGCGCGCGGTGCGGCTGCAGGCGGGGCAGACGCTGCTGCACCTCGCCGCCGACCGCCGCACGCCAGTCGACGACTTCCATACCAGCGACGTCTGCCAGTCAGTCACCGTTCTATCACTCTACTGTCCTAGAACCCGAAACTTCCTTAACACCAACTGATAGGACTAACAAACTGTATATGGTTAACAATCTTGTCAGATTATCGGGGTTAACCGAAAAGGAAGTCTTCTGGGATTAAAAAATTGTTTATTAAATATAAATAACAAGGCTTATAGATCAGACGCCAGAAGAGGGGAAGTAAAAGGAAAAGAGCGCACTTCGCCCACAGTTTTTGTAACTTTTTTTATGGCTGCGGACAAAATTGTACGCATTTTATGGATTATGTACACTTTATGAATACAAATTTTCAATTAACTTAATATTTAGGTATTCTTGTATGTTAATTGAAATCTATCAATTTAAATTGTAAAAAAAAGTTATATAAAAATTACTTATAATGTTTAAATTGTCAGTTAGACAAAGCTTTGTTTGCGTAACTCACTTTTACCCATTTATTCCTAAAAAAAGGTGTTTTTTTTTGTATAAACAAGATATCAAAGATTTTTGTGCAACTGTGACACCGTGTAGTACCTCAACTGTACTTTATGTAGGGGCAACTTTGTGTAACTGCGACACCGTGTACTGTAGTGAGTGTACGTTGTGCGTGGCAGGTTCCCGTGCGTGCGCACGACGCGGCTGCTGCTGGAGTGCGGCGCGGCGGTGGACGCGGCGGACGAGGCGCGCCGCACGCCGCTGCATGTCGCGCTCTTGTCCCTGCCTCTCATGCCGGGTACCTCATACAACCTCACATACACACACATTCACTGTATTCTCAGCTTCTGTCCGTCGTTTCGTCACAAATTCAACAAAAGCTTTAACAGTCTCGGTGTTAAAGTCTATGTGTATGTTTGTGCCAAACAGCAAAATTTTGGCGAGTAAACATCCATCCATTTAGACTTTCGCATTTATAATATTAGTATGAAGTATAATCGGTGGCTCAGGAGTTTAAGCATTTAAATTGTAATCAATAGGTCCTGGGTTCGAATCCCGCTGTACCTGTGATATTCTATTTTTCGATTTTCATATGTACATAATTTACCCTACGTTCTTCATCATCAAATCATCGTGATGACTGCACATATCGGCGAAGAAATTCAAAGATATGTGTGAAGTCAACCTTCAGTGCAGCATGGTTCACTAAGTCCTAACTTAGGGTGGACTTTAAGCCCCTTAGCGGGGATATCAAGTCACTAAAATATTTTTACTGTTGCCTAACTAATCAGTAGACTACAGTTAATTAATTATTAACTGAACTATTTCAACCTATCCGTAGTAGGGCATGGTGGTTGACTGTCACCTTTTAGGATATGTTCCGAGCCATATACCCCCCTGATAACTTTGGGGGGGGGGATGCGTAAATGCATTTTACCAGCGGAAAAAAAGGGTTTGTTCCGAGCCCTGTGGGGAGGTATAGCTGGTGATACACGAGTACAGTAAGAGTGTGTGCAGTGGAGGAGGTGGCGCGGTGGGGCGCGGCGCAGTGCGCGGTGGCGGCCGAGCTGCTGTCGCGCGGCGCGCACGCGGACGCGGTGGATGCGGACGGCCTCACGCCGCTACGAGCCGCTATGGAAGGTAGCTATAATACTATATACGACTCTCTTTTTTTACCCATCGTCATCTCCCCTGCCTTATCCTACTCCCGTAGGGTCGGCGCACAGAGTTTTCGTCCTCCAAAGCACTCTATCATCCGTCATCTCAGTCATCACTCCCTTCTTGATCATGTCACATTTCACGCAATCCATACATCTTTTTCTAGGTCTACCTCTACCGGTGTACCTCCACATTCATAACTAACGTCCGTCTTGTTACATGCGATTCATCCCTTCTCATAACATGCACATACCACTCTAACCTTTTACTCCTTATTTTCTCAACCACTGGGGCTCCTCTCAAACTTCCTCTAATATACTCATTTCGTATCTTATCCAATCGTGTAACCACATATCCATCTTAACATTCGCATTTCCGCCACATGTATTCTCCTTTGATCCCTTTTACTGCCCAACATTCAGATCCATACAACATGACAGGTCTTACGACGGTTTTATAAATTTACATAATGGATGATGCCTTTCACGCGTATGTTCTATATTATGCATGTGGGTTTGTTATGTAAATTCCATTGCAACGGCCCACTGCTTAAAAACGACTGAACCGATTTTAAAGAATGAGGTATCATTCGATTTGTTTATTCCACAGAGTGTTATGTTTATTGGAATAATACACCTACAGTGGACGTGAGAAATAAAATCCTAAAAATAGTGAAAAATTCCACATCAATATCACTCGCCATAACTTGTTTTGTTTCTACATTTATTAAATATGACTTTTTTATTTTAATTAATGTTAACTTTTTAAATTAGCACCTACATATGTTATTCAAATTTCGTTATTCTAGGTCCTGCAGAGAGCCTGGTGCGAGCAGCGCTGCGGCCGCGGCTGTCGTGCCTCGCTGCAGCCGCGCTGGCGCAGCACCGCCGCCAGTACCGGCCCTCGCAGGTGCCGCGCGACCTGCACGACTTCCTCGCCATGCACGGCGTCACGCCCATGAAGTAGCCACCTCACACCTCACATCACACACTCGGCTTATATTGAGGTTTACACTTCATGCTAAAATTATGAGACATTTGCGACCTCATATGAAAAAATATGAGGCGTTACCGACCTCACATGAAGACTGTGAGGCGTCTTCGACCTCACAAGAAGACTGTGAGACGTTTTAAACCTCATATGAATACCGCATGAGGGGTGACCTCATATTGGGAGCGCCAAGGGTCAAGGTTACGTTTTTGCTGGTAGCAAATTCGATATAACCTCATTATTCTAAGTTGAATATCATGTAAAAGACTTATTATGGATTTAAGAACACTTCTTTAGCCAATTTCCATACTCCCTCGTATCTATCTCTTTCCCACTCCCTCGTCCTTTCCCCCTCCAAACCAGTATAATTACGACGAAATATTTGTTGACAATTGTGAAACTTTTTAATTTACATTTTTATGTATTTTTTGCACAAATTTCTTACACAAGTATGTATTATTTTTAATTTAAATTGACTGTTTGAAGCTCTATATTGAGATAACGCGCCATACAACGGACATGTCCGCCATTTTGACGTAGCGTCCATTTTGTGTTCGTTAGAATTTTTTTCATTATAATACGATTATTGAGACTTAACATTTACTGCAAATGTTTTATTTTAAAAGTAATCTACAAATAATCATATAATATTTTAAAATCGATAGGTTAAAAAACATTGGTTTTTGTATACAAGATGTCTTTTTTATTAAATTTTGATTTTATTTGACTTATCAATATTATATATTATGTTGTATAAACATTTTTTTTTCGAAATTAATAAAGCATTTACGATATGTAAAGTTTGCTAAGCGTATGAACACAGGGTGTTATGTGTTCAAGTTTGATAGTCAAACAAGGATATCTGAATTTTGACATTGAATTTACGTAAATTATAATATACTAGCTTTTGCTCGCAACCTGCATAAAATTTAAAAAAAACATGTTACTCACAGACATTTTACCTTTTAGTAGTTTTTTAGTTATTTCAATATATACAAAGATAAAAATCTTTCCCTTTTATAATATCAGTATAGATAATTCAAAATAACTTTCGAATATTGAATTTAAATATGTAAGCGTCCTAAATGGCAACATTTAAACTCTAAACTCCATACAAATTTTAACATCTACCAGATTGTAGACTTCAAAGTGAAGTATGTAAGTTTCGTTTCAGTATTTAGCCGTAAATTTCTTACAATCTCTAGATACTTTTCAGTTTTTCATGAAAGTATGTTTGAAAAAAAATATGCCTAACCCCTGACAATAGTCTGGCGACGTCCATAACATTAGCTGTCGTCTATATTACTAATATTATAAAGTGGGAAAATTTGTGTTTTACGATTTTTGTATTTGAAATGACTCGAAAACTACTGGACTGCTTTAAAATTTTCTTGCACCATTAAAAAGCTATGTCATCACTGAGTAGCAATTAATATCCACCGATTGATATCCTTGTTGGACTATACAAGGAAATGGCTCAAACGATCGAAAGCTGTGCACAGCAATTGTATGTGATATGTAGATATAACGGCATGTAAAATGTACCTTATTGCGTCGTGTTTTGGTACAAAATAGTTTGTGCCATTTGGGATTGACGAACGGTTCCTATTATGTATGATTAAAATGTTATGCTTATGGTTCTAAGGTACATTTTTCAATAAATGTTACTTATAAAGCATTATTAGTTTGAGTAGAAAATAGCAGAAATGCAAAATAAATTTAAGTAAAAATAAACTCCTATGTAAACTATAGTAGGTTTGAAATATAAATTTTACAAGAATTTAAACATTAATATTAATTACGATACAAATATGAAATTAAACAAAAATTGACTTTTTAAAGATATTATCGAATTTCAGTATTTATAAAGTTAATTTAAAAATATAAGACGTAAATCGCACAATTGTAACTTACGATAGTTTACATAGGGTCCAACGAAATTAGCTTGTAGATTTTCTTTTATTAAAAAAAAATCTTTTCCTATTACAAAAACAACGAAGTAATATTAAATGCCATGAGAATTGAATTTACGCACAAAAAAAGCTGTTTGTAGGGTAAAAAATCCAGAAAATTAGTAGAAATAGTATAGAAGAAATATTTTCAGTAAATTGTAGATTTACCTATAAGTAAATTAATTGAATTATCACAACTATACAAAAAAATCTCAGATTCATTGTTATAAAAATATTAAAATGTATAAAAGCATCTTGTAAATGTACAATCGCGGAAATCCGCGGTGTTTCACTTTTTGAAAAATTGCTTTATTCCTTGCAACGAGACAAACTCCACGTCTTATTAACCAATTAGGCAACAGTTAGTTACGTAAACGAGATAATAATAAAAGGCTGATTATCCCAACCGTACCTCCATTCTGTCCTCACTACGGATAGATGAAAATAAAAAGCTTCATCTGTCCCACCTTTTGTGACGAGGAGACGGTTGTAACTTATTCTATTTCATAACAGTTCCATCTGTCACCTTATCGGTGATGGACTAAAAGGTGGGAGGGATGAAACTTTTTATTCTCACGTGGGGACAGAGCGGGTTGACGGTTGGGAATCATTCTAAAGAGCAGTTACTTTTGGATAAGGCGAGCTTTTTTCGTACGGAAATGTTTAAAAGCAAATGACTGTAGTTAATAGGAACACTGCAAAATTCCCCGACTGTACAAATCATATTGACTTAAGCATATATTCTCTGACATATTTCAAGTAATTTTTTAACCTTCATATGTGCAATAGCATAGTTATCTATATTTAAGTTATGTATTGTTGCCATTAAATATAGTTTTAAGTTTTTAGGATATATTAGAGAACGACGTTTAACACGTTGTGTTAAAATCTAGTCAAAAGTTTAAAATGTTGATGTCAAGTTATTTTTTTTGTTTATTTCGTGTAAGTATAATTTTTTACTGATATTTGCGTCTAAAGTTTAGTTTTATCGGATTATGATAAAAAAATATTTGTTGGATTTCTATGAAAATAACAGTTCAAATTAGGTTGTGAGACAAGATTAACGCATTTTCTTATACTAATTGAAGAACATTATATAAAGTCGCTTTTAATATCTCTATTTCAAAACTTACAATAATATTACAGCTTTCTATAAAACGCCTGGTATTTTATTATCAGCAATGTATTAAATAGTAGTTTTTGCCTAACGGTATCGCGGAATAAAAAAAATTGTCTTAAAAAATTGCCTATGTTATAAATATAGGGTACATTACTCAATGAAAATATAGCGTTCTTATGGTGAAAGTTTAAAATCTACCCAGTAGTTTTTGAATTCATATACATACAGTGGTAGAGTCCGCTTTAACATCTTCGCACTGAAGGGCCGGCACGCCCGGTGTAATATCACGACCACACAGAAACAGGCGTGAAGTGGAAGCAATTCCACGTTTCGTCTGATGAGTGTGGTGCCGAAGGCCTTATTTTAGTCCCTTTCCTTTATACCCTTTTCTTAAAAGAAAGGGATGGCAAGGAAAAGTGGATTTGGCAGTGGAGGAGATGCAAAGGAAGGGAATAAGTGCGTCTCCTCCGTCAATGAAGAGTAGGCAACGCGTCTACAATTGCGGTTGTTTATGGGCAGCGGTTGCTTTCCATTTCGGTGGATTCAGGTGGCCGCCACCTGATATTATATAAAAAAATACAAAAACAAAAAATTTTTGCTTTTAATTGTAATTAAATTAAATAATTGTAGATGACAAAAGTACATTTACGTGCATAAGTCGTTTTTTTTAATATAATTTTCCGCGATGATGTTACTTGTCTGTCGTAATCTGTTTTTGATTTAAATAAAATTTGAGGTTAATTACCGCAGATATTAACACATGTTAAATGTAATTTTATAAATTAACATTTTATCGTCATTCAAATTCAAACAAAATGACTAACTTTTGCCTTTTAAGAGAAATAAAAAAATACTTGAATAAAAAAACTAGCTTCTCGTCTTAGGCGCAATGCAATTTTGTGTTCATTTCTTAGTTTAAATTTTTATTTTTCTTATAAATGAAGTCTTAATGTATTTAACATTTCAATTCACATATCTCTAAAGTAATTGACTGAAAATATTATGATTAGTACATTTAAAATTAAATAAAAGCGGCTCAAATATAAAATATAATATTTAATAATAAAATAAATAAATTGATATTGTTTCCTACTTAAATATTTTATCTGTAACGCTTTTCTCTCTAACTGTACACAAATAAATATAGCTTTAGTGTAGTTGTAGAGAAAATGATACGAATTTTGGCAACAATAATCAGTTCTGTGAAGGGTTTTTAATCATGTACTAAGGTATGTTAAAGAAATGTTTAATTACAAAGTAACTATGGTTGCCATAGTAACCGTTATGTGTAAGGAAATGTTGCTAGACTTAAAAAAAAGTTACCTCAAAAAAGGTAGAAATTGTGATCGAGTCCGTTCGGGTCTATTGATGTAAATAAGATATTTATCTGTGGCGATTAAGTATATAGCATTATTTTTGTCCGAATCGAATACAAATAAAGCGTTATATTGTAATTTTTGTTGTTTCTTTTAATACCTATCATAGAGTAAGGATAGAAGTGGAATGGTAAGACTATAATTTGATCATGTAATTGGACCAATTTAAAACAGTCTCTGGGGTCTGAGTCACCATGTTAATTTTTTTATTGCGATATAAACGTAACTAATAAACAATAATGTGTTTTTCTAGTAAAAAAAAAACAAATAGCTTTTTTGATTATCCAGCTGATAGGCCGATGAGGGTCCTTGGTTACTTCGATTAAAGAATTCAATTCTCTTCCCAACTAAGATCGAGTATCGTATGTTAACTGGCACCAGATGCGCACTAAAATAATATCTCGCTAGCGCCCTAGTTTTATGTTATTTTCTATATCCCGGGTTTGACATTTTTTAGTACCAACAGAACAGCGCATCACACCAGGATCCATTCTTCCTCCTCCATCCTTCTCGACATCATTCTTTGACTATTATTGTATTGCGTTAAAATGTTATCTTGCCGGGTAGGAAATATAAAACCTTGACTATACTTTTTTTAGTCGAAACTCGAAATCTTAATTTGTTAGACATTTGTAATTGTACGACGGCTAAAGAATAAACGTACACGCGTTGGCAAACATCCTGTGTTCTTACCTAAATTTAATCACTTCAATTACACAGTGTAATTACTGAGCGGAAATCCTCCCAGTTATGATTCAAGTTATGAGATAAGATCGTGTTGGTGCATTTACTTTGATTATCATTAACATCTGCATGTTTTAATGAACAAAGCAAAGTTGCCGAATGTCAGTTGTAGCTTGTTGGTTGACTTCTCGTTGAATTTCTTCACCAATGTGCAGGCGTCACGTTTTCCTTCCCATAAAAACATCGATAAAATATGATACATGAAGTTAAAATACAGATAATCAGTTAATACATAGCGATATTGGAACCCAACACTTTAGATTACAACCAATGAGCCACCGATGCTTTACCTCACATAAAATTTATAAACAAAATCTGAAAATCGTCCCCATTTTTTATATTAATTTTGTTTAAGAAATTACTACTTAATGCTTATTCATGAGTAATTTTTCTCATGTACAATTTGATCCGACTTACAAAACACGGTGCGATAGTGAACGGAACAAAATTGTTTCCAAGATAATTGCGCGCGGAACTCGAGATGACGAGACGCGAACAAAAATACTACAATAACTGGATGTGCGATGGAGAATGGGATTAATGGTAATAATTTACCATTACATTACCTAACCAGCGCCGGTAGCATCAGAGAGGGGTACGAGACGCCGGGAACCACTTTCAGTTTCTGCAGATTGCTTGCTCCGCGTACACGAATTGCGTAACCCACGCGTCCGCCGCCCGGTTTGACAGCTCGCCGTCGACAGCGCGCCAACCCGCATTCGAATGACATACT